CTGCTTCTTACTTATGCTTCTACCTGGGCCTAACATTCATTCAATTTCTATGGCTAATACACTAGTCAAAGCTCACCAAAATACTTTTAGATTTGGACAGTCACTTGTAGAGCTTCTGATCCATGTTTTGGGATCAAGTCTGCTTTTTTACATGCCTCAGCTGGCCAAATAGGCTCCTCATTTTCCACCTAAGTACTTTTTACAGAGCTAATTTCTACATTGGCTTTTGAAAATCAACTGAACGTTGTAAAAAGACAATGCAAAACTATGCTTAGAAGAAACTAACGTGAGACAGAAAGAGCTCAAAACTTGAATTCAAATTTCATACCTACTGCCACATCACCAAAATTGACTGTGTTTGTTCCATTATCTGAAGTGACCACAACAGATGGTGCTACAGCTGGACAGTGCAACTCCAAATACAAAGTGTTGTAAGGGCTAGAGGGATAGTAAAAAGATATTTGCTCTTGGATCATACAGAAATAAAAACTATTGTCAGAAATCTGTTCTTATTCTGTTCATACCAGAGGATATCATTAAATTGGTATTACAAAACAATACACAATTTCTGGGGGCTGACTTTTTTGTGTATGCCTAAGCAGAAAGATGAACTACATCTGGCTTAAATTCTTTGCATAATTATTCTTTAAGCTGCTTTGATATTCACGTATTCAATTCTTACCAACTAGTGGGTTGTAACCATGAGTTTCTACCACTGACCTATGAAGTAATTAAGATGAGAAAACAAATTTCCTCCCCAAATGAATAAATTAACATGCCGCCATTTCCTCCTCAAATTTCTGAGCTATCATGAATTGCACATATCTAATTGCAAATACCTGCAGCTCAAGTTTTCAGAGCCTTTCTTTTCACTGATACGTCCACTTGCCACAAAGCACGGTATGATGTATTTTTCAAACCTCCCAGTGAAATTCCTCATCAGGAAAGCCTGGGCTGCCATATAAGCATCACAACTAGAAAATCCAGGAATAAGAATCATCTCAGTAAGTGACAGAGCAAGAAAAAAAAAAATCAAAAAATATCTGAGCTATTTGTGTTTACTGTTTCTTAGTCATACATTCAAAATTGAACATAACAGTGAAACTAAGGGACTGTCTGCGTGCACAATAATGGACCCATCCTACTAAGTGTTTTGCTTTTCTCGCCAAAAGAGAATAACAATTATAAACCCAGATAATAGATGCTATACTAAAGATTGCAAAATCATCAGTGTGATTTCCTTATGTTGAATACACTAAGTATTCCAGTGTCTTCCAGTACTTCTACATCATTTCAATGATATGTAAACACACATGATCATATTTCGCTAATGCAACATGCCAAGCAATACTTCATAAAGGGAGTTTTAAAATATAAAATTTATTTTTTATGAACTGTACTGGAAGTATTTAAAAATTATAATTAAAGGATTGCAATAAACTTGGGATTTTAGTCAAAAATGCCTAACAACCAGTACAGCCAAATGCCTGGTGTTTAAGCATGATTAGGCAGAAGTATGGTTCTAAAAAGTTGAACTGTATGCCAAACAGGGACCTCAAGTATCAGATTTTGCATCTCAGTATCCGGATTTCTAGATAACACATGCTATTAATGTTAATTCTCACTGAGGGACACATATTGTAAAATGACTATTTAAAATGCACGTTTTGCAGCATAATTACATTTCCAGGACTGAAGATGACCATGACTAATATGATGGACTATGCAAGCCCTCAAAAAAAAAAATTTAACCCATACCCATGGATATGGGGCATCAGAGGGTTTCCATCGGGGTTGAATGTATTCAGCTCTGTTAGGCCTATTCAGCAAAGGTATATTAGTAGTAGTTTCTTTTGGTAACTAAGTTCAGTTTTCTCGTTGACCTTTAAAATAATACCCTTGTTGGTTCAGCCAAATTTTCCTATACAGCCACATCTCATGCTTTCTGATACATTCTTTGAAGTCTTCAATCCCTCTGATGCATAAAGGGATTCTTTGCCTTACATGAGAGGGTACAGCTGTGTGGCTTAAAAGCAGTACTAATTTTGGAAGCAGCCTTTGCAACATAGCGAAAGCTATTTTTTCTCTACAGTTTGCTTTCTTGTCTACCTATAGGTTTTAGAAGATTTATTAAACTATTTATAAAGAGAGTGTTGTCTACATAGTACAAGATGCTTTTGCTGACTTACTCAGGCTTTAATTCTTTGGATTTTGCTTCTTCAGAACTATATAGGGAAGCCAGGTATTTACTGCCTTCATCCCTTACAAGCTGTCTGGAAGACTGCTGTCTGGCAATGGAAATGCTTAATTTCTTTCCCTCTCTCTTTTCATCTTTTTTCCTTTTCTGCAAATACACACACAGAGAGATTATACGCTGAGGGTGATCACCAGTAATCCAATCGAGACATCAGTTTACAAATACACAGTCCCTTGCCCAAGGATACAGAACCTAAGAGGTGGTAAGGATGCGTGAAACAAGGTAACAGCAGTAGGGTTACAGTAACAAGCCACAGACACAGTAGTTATTACAGACATTTCTAATAATGTAAAGTTAAGTTGAAATGGATGTATTTTACCCCATCTTAAAAAAAAAAAAAAAAAAAAAGAGTTCCTCTATTGGAGCAGATGAGTAGAAGACTGTATCTCTCATGGGAATTTTACCTATTTATCTCATAATTAAAGACAACCATAGGTGCTCACATAAATTAACTGACCCACAGCACTGCACATAAAGTCCATGTATGCTGAAAATCTGCAAGAAGAGTAGAAACTTTATTTTTTTAAGAGTACTTGCAGTTGGCATTTGCAAGAAAATCCTCTAGGAATGCTTTTGAAATTGTTAGCATGAAATTAAATTATTGCTTGGTGAACAGACTACACGTTAAGTGCAGCAGTACAGTCATTCTCTTGTCCTTTACAGCAGGTCTTACATGGATCATGAGTTTGGCCTTCATTAATATGCAAATAATTTTACAATAAAAATACTATCCAGAGAAATAAATATTTGGAAGTAAGAGACCAACAGCACGTGCTAGTTCTTAGCATTCCTTACTTGTATTTCTGCCCCTGTCGCAGCTGCTCTGCAAAGCCTCCGAACTGCCTCTTCTCTGATTAGCTGATCTGACAATGTTGGTCTGAAGGACACTTGAATCGAGCTTTTCTGGGAGGGTGAAAGCATACACAAGAATGATAGGCAAAATTCAGCCCTCACACGTGTGTTATACCTACAAAGCTCAATAGCAGCATATACGTGGCAGCAAAAAATTGACAAATAAAATACAATTTTTTTTTCCTAAGTGAATAAGATGATCCTAAGGATAAGGTCACTTGCAGCTTTTTTTTGAAGCCCACTATGTTACAGTGGGCTGATTTTACATGACCAATAATTCTGATATTTAAACATTCTTCAAATAAACCGTAATGACGACACTGGACAAAGAACATTCAGGGTGAAAACTCCCATAAAGCATTAGCCAGATTTGATGGCTAATGTTTTAAGTCAGGCATGAGAGGTTATTTCAAACAACACAAAATATTCTACCTATTCTAATAATAATTTATGCTTTGAGCTTCATTTACAAGTGACAGCATTTGTAGGGATGTAGATGATCAAAAGATTTGGCAGAACGCTTGACGTTTAAAGAGAATTTACCTTCCCAGGCAACACAGTTCCAACAGAAGGTGTAATTGTCACTGGACAGTCTTCTGGCACACAGAATTCAAATGAAGTGGGTCCAACAGGGGCAACTTCCCTGTTGCCAATTCTTGGGAGAGCATGAGTAAAGTGGTTGACGCTCACATGGGAATTCATCACATACAGTGTTGCTGTAGACACACCATTTAAAGCTGTTGCAGCAAACCGAACTAAGGAATGAGACAATTCAAGAGGTGGGTGGACTCCAACTGCTTTGCATGACAGCTTGAATTGTCTAAAAATAAACACATGATAAATTGTCTCAGCATAAAATAGTCTCTTAATCAGCCCGGAAAATAGGGAACTAATCCTGTAGTCCCTATTTAAGCAGAATTTCAAGCTTGCAAGGGAATTTTGCCTAAAGATGAACAATAATACTATCTATTTTTAATGCACAATTGGCTAGAGTCCCTGCTTGAATTCTTCCTCTGTGAACTTCTGGAAATACATCCAGTCAAATCAAAGTTTATGCCATCATTATTTTAGTAGCATTAGCTTAATGTATGAAGCATTTTAAAAAAAATATTTCTTCAGTAATTTGACTGAAAAAGCCAGCAGAGCACTGCAGGTTAAGATGACCTGGGGCAAACTTGCAGCTTGGATATGTGACAAGGATAAATTTCAGGTGGGATAAAAAAAGTCATCCCAGTAAAGACAGATACGGAAACAAAGGATGAAACTAACAGGCACTGAGCAACTCTTGTCAACTGGAGAATTCCTGCCTGCCTCACATTTTTATCCTAGCCTTACCTCTTCAAAGTAGGCAGGGATTTAATTTCTGAACTAGCTTAACAGTGGAAATCCAGTGCGATTTAGACTTCTAGATCGCCTACTACTCAATCAGTTTCTTAACATACCTATTAATCTCCGACTTGCAGGTTAGTTCAAAGCTGTACTCTTTTGCCTCGTTAGCTTTAAAGATTATGTCCAATGTCAGGTTTTCAAGGGGAAGAAGTATTCCAAGTCCGTCATTGGGTTGAATTTCAACAAACTTCAAAATGGCAGGATAAGAAATTATTGTTATTAAAATAAGAAAGTATGAGTTAAATTATCAAATTATTAATAAATTAAAATAAGATATTAGTGGCAAGATAAGAAAATTTTGTTATTAAATATACGAATGTCAGGAAACAGAAACGTTCTAGTGAGCAGCTTTCATCTGAGTTGGTGAGTAGTGCCTGACTGACGCACAGATTTCTAATCTTGAAGTAACTTGAAAGGCATTAAATCCATTAACTCAGGCTTCAGTACAATCTCCTCCCCAGCTTCTTACCATCTATGGTAATCACCTTTCTCTAATGGTGTTTTTATTTACCCTTCATAGACAATTGAATGAAATATGGGCAAAATCTCAACAGTTCCCCCTGTATCTTTGAAAAGCCAATTCCTGTATGACGTGCAGAAGCCATAGTGACAAGAACCAGTTTAATATCTACAAATGTATATCAGCTTGTGTTTGAGTTGATGATGATGATTCAGGAATGTCTCCCCACATTTTAAGCTAATCATGAAACACATGCTGTGAAGTAAAGCTTCAACAAAGCTGAAGATACCAATTTCTTTTAGCTGACTCCTTGATTGTAATCCTTAAAACAGCAGAGAAATGGAGAATGCCTAATCGAATATCAGGTTCCTCTAGCTCCGATTCCAATATGCGAAACTATTTCACACTGCAATCATCATGCTATTAAGAAGCTTGAACAGTTAACTTTTTGAAAACAAAAAACAAAACAAAACAAGAAAATTTAGCAGACCTAGCCCACACGAAATTGGCAGCTCCTGTGATTAATTTAGCTTCCACATCAACTTACAGAAAATACCTAGCCATGGATCAGGGGATGGTTCCCAGCAAGCAGTTTGGCCATGGCCATCCTGCTTTAAAAGACAAAGTGTTTAGGCATTTGGATGCAAACTGTGCGATATTCCTCAGCTTCAAGGCCAAAGCCACATCCCTAAGCCTGTTTGATTTAGTAGTATAAGCGACCTGTGAGCCTGAACGGAAAATGCACCAGGTATTCTGTTAGTAGATTTCTTGGTGTAAGAAATAGGTATTCTAATAGGATGAAGTCAGCCTAATAATGTTACGTAGGTCAGAAAAGTAAAATCTCCTTCAAGATGTTTACAGTGCTTGGAAAATGCTTAGGGTATAACAAGATGAAGTTTACACAAACCAGTACAAGAACTAATCCACGTGTTTCCACAGTGCTGCAGGCAGAAGTACTTCCATGGGTTTGCAAGAACCTGTCATGATTTATTTACACTCACATTGAAACATGTTTTCATAATAATTAAATATATTTTGATACAAGAGGTGTGTGTGGGATAACTACATACCTCTGGAAGTCCCACAAATCCAAACTCTTGTGGCAAGATGGATTTGTTTGTTAGCACAACATTTGCCTGCACAGCTTCATAGATTGTGCAGTATCCAAAATTGATTTGTGCTGGACTGATTTCCAAATCAGAAGTAGTAATGATTGCATGGACAGTAAAATTAACTTTTTTAGCCTGAAACAAATGCAAAAGCACAGGATAAAAACGTCCATCTGTAGCATTGTAAGGACAGGATTTAAATGAAATGTCATCCAAAAAGGTCACTGCAAAAAAGTTATTCTACTCTCTTCCTTGACAATAACATATGTAAACGTAGCATATCTATCTTGAACTTCAGCCTCATTGTTCTCCAAAAATAAGCAATAGGAAATGTCTCTTCAATAAGCAAAATTAAAAAAATATTATCCGTATCTCAAATTCCATATGCTAGAATGGAATCACACCTGCATCTCCAGGAAATGTGAACTGTAAGAATACGTTACATCTGCAGTACAGATCAGAATAAAGAGATTGTGCTATGGTATCTGGTAAGTCTCTGGTACAAAATAAACTACTAGGGAATAGATGAGCACTAACTAGAAAGGACTTAACTTCAACTAGTAAAGAACTAATCTAAGTTAAGATAGCATTAAGTGAACATTCACCAAAATAATGTACATCCATTGTCAGTCTGATAACCAGCATAATAAAAATCACTAACCTTACCCACAATCAGTATTGTCACTGGAACTTCCAGAATTCTTGTCTCTTCATTAAAATAGCTCCCTGCATCTTCAGGAAGAGAGCGCCTAAAAATCAAAAAGTACATTCAGTTTCATAAAAATATTTTTACTATTTTCTAGCTAAGGGGAATAATAAACTTTTGATGGATGTATTTCTGAACAAAAGGAAAACCCCCAAGCCTCTCACTTAAAGTCTAAAAGTTTTATTATTCACAGCTTTTAATCTTAACACAGTATTTGTACTCATCAAATAGGAGTACTCACACATATAGGTGGTTAAGCACCAATCCCAATGCTTCACTGAAGTGAAGTCTAACTAAAGTCTTGTATGCAAGATATATACAAATATTAGGGAAAATGGTGGAAGAAAATGCCAATCAAAAATTAGTGACCTATGAAATTCCACCTTCTGACCAAGAAAAAGAAGATGCAGTCAGATCAGAAATATTATGGACTTGTCAGATTTCCTATAGAATGGCATAGCTCCAGACAATCTGCTCTGAGCAGGTATGCGTGGATTGCAAGAGTATCTACCAATGAAGTTAGAATAATCGACCTTCTACACCTTAGTGCTGGATTTATTTTTTATTTTTTTTTAAGACAGGATTTTGGACACACGAAAATTTAAGGGAGTTATTCACAGAGGTCTGCATCCCTTTATCCTTTTTAAAAATGCCATCCAGTCACTTAAAATTCTGAAAAACTGAAAGCTTACTTTATAATCAGAATATAAGCCTTCTGCATCTTTGCTGCAACGACAGCACATAACCAACCCAACCTAGGCAATCATTTCCTTTTGACACTGATGTGAGTTAATTACCAGCCAGTTTGAGGCAGAACCAATTGTATCACAAAGCACAGAGACATAAATAAAGTGAAACAAACTTGGAGACCAATAGCGTCTGATTATATACCAGATTAGTAATTTATGAGAAATATGCGGGTTTTCTGTAGTTGAAGCATCTTGCTATCATAAGCTCAATTTCAGAGCTTCAAGCCAAGACAATACAAAAGCTCTAACATTTTTAGCTCTGCCGGTCTATTTATAGTGTCTTACAGCATCCGAGTGAATTGCTTCCTGTTCTTAGGTCTCCACGGTGATCATGTTCCTACTACTACTACTGGAATTACGTGCCATTTTTTTAATGTATTGTTAAAGAACAGTTAATGAATAAATAGCACCCACTCAGTCACCATGGTGATCTGAAATCTTGCTGGTTGTTATTTTGCAAGTCTGAAACGTGACTTTAGAAGGTGATCTTCAAAGGTATTGCTGACTTGTTTAAAGATAGAAACTGGAGTTAAATACAGTAGGAATTAAGTACCAGCTTTCACTTTGTCACAGGACATTAGACTAGCAGAAGAAATTAATCTATTATAAAATAATCCAGAGGGGAAAAAAATAATTGTAACTGGACATACACAGTGATGGACTCTAAATTAGCTGTTACGCCTTGGGGAAAAGATACTGAAATCCTTCAGATAATTGCTTTTAAGCATGAAGCTGCCATTTTCAGAGAACTAAGAGAAGCACAAAAGATTTCGATTTAGACTGCCAACATCTGCAGGACTAGTTCCAAATGCAGAAAGTCTAAAAGATGTGGTATTTGGGAATTCTGAAAGTCAGCAGATTAGAGAGCTTGCCTTCAAATAAACAGACAATGTCTGCTTCAAACACGCAGAAAGTTATGAGTATTGTAACACCTGACCAAGCATTTCAGTGTGCACAGAACACTCGGGAGAACTTCCTAAGCCTTCAGTCATCTATCTGTTCACTTACTATTGCTGAATGAGCGTTTCTTTTTACTTTTGTGTTACTTTTAATATAGCTATTCTATTAATATAGCTTATAATACTAAGTCAATGAGGAGGCATTTACAGAATTGCGTCACTAGCTCAGTACTTCACACCAGCTTGTAGCAAGCTCATCTTTCTCTGTCATACAGGCACTTCCCCTGTGTGTTAGGTCTTTGAAAACTGATCTGTACAGTGAAACAGCCAGATACTTATCTTGTCTGTCAGAAATGCCTTAATCTCATCAAATCTCCTTTCTGAAGCTTCCCCATTTTTCAAAGGAAGATTAATGTTCCAAATCCAAGCTATGCTTCTATCTACTCATTAAGTGTAGCAGTGCTTTACAGCATCTGAGCTTTTGGAACTGAAAAATGGCATAATAATGGTTACTGTTGTTGTAATCTGATAGGATTTGAGATATTGGAAGAAATGTAAATACTTTTACTTCTTTGAATAGTAACCTGGTGAAAATTTCAAAATCAGTGATTAGACTCTCAATTTATAATCCAGAGATGCTGAGCACAGCAGTGAAAATCCAAATATACCTACATCAATGGAACTAGATAACTTATATGAGAAAAGCAGCAAGTTTGTAGCAGCAATCAATGCAGAAGCCACCGAAGCATTTGGCTGTACACCAGAATTAAGATCTATATCATTTAATTCACATTTGAAAAGAAATGTCCTGCTAAATTCTTTAGGATGGCAATGATGAGGGAAATAAAATTAACAGCGGTCAACAAGGGCTTTTGTATTTAAGTTTTTAAAAACTGGAATTCTTTGTTTCCTATAACTGAGCTATGCTTGTATATGTAGATGTACCACGAAATAGAGAAGAAACACTTGCTGTGATAAGGCTTTTAGCATCTTAGAAGATGTTCTAGAAAATGCCACACGAAATTCAAGATCAATACATTCATATTTTGGAGGAAAATGTGCATGGGTAGGAGAGACATGAACAGGAAGCCCAACCATTCTTACCTTAATTAGCAAGCACAGGAGTTCTTGTCCAGAAATTATTTAATCAGTGATCCATGAAGTAGCCACCTGCCTAGATAACCTCTCTCTCTCGTATAAGAATAGCTTCCCCACAGAAAAGGGAACAGCCTACCAGGAATGCAACTGCTAAGATTTTCACACTACTGCTGTCACCACAGGAAAAGCATTTCCTCACAGGTATGTGATCCAAGTTAATTTCCTCCTCGAGCATCTGGCAACTTTTAAGAGGCAGACTAGGACTGCATTGACATCAGCAGTGTGAAGTCCAGCCTGGTACACTGTGAAGGAAGGAAAAAATAAAACAAAAAAACCCCCCACAAACTTTGACCTGCTCAGATTTTCCACTGACAGTCTCCTACAGATATTGTCTTAAGCACAGAAAAGACTAATGTGGTTAGGTTACCTGGGCAGAAACTTCAATTGCACGCTGAAGGATGACTGAGCTTGAATGTAACCTGTTTTGGGAAGCAGCTCCATGTGCTTACTCAATTCTTTGCATACTTCAAACTTCAAACACAGCGTGGCTTTTGCTCTGCAGACAGATCAGACATGCTTAGGTGGCTTTGAGGCTACCCATACTGCCATCTCAGCAAAATTTGCTCTTGGAGTTTGGTCCCCGCACCCCCCCCTCCTTGCATCTCTACTCTACATTACGATTACAACAACTCCAAGCTTCCTTTGAAAATGATGGGGATGTAAAACTGCTACAGCAAAATCACATGCTTGTATTCTCTTTTAAGTATAGAAAACAAGATTTTGGAAATACTGTAAGTCAACCCAGTTGTATTTCAAGCAATATACAGAGCTGATTGGTACATAATTATCAAAGTGCAGCACAGTGCTAAGTCAGGTCAGGGGAAAGTCAAAGCCAAATTATTGCGAAATATCAGCTAATTATTTGCTCCTAACATACGTTCCCTCTATCCAAATCAATAGGAATGACTCACGTAACGTTTGAGACACCTAATTGGTCCTAGCTGCTGCACAGAACCCACTCAAGATGGAAAAGGAGTAGTCTCCTTGTAAGGCTGGATCTAGGTTGTGTAACAATGGTGGTGGGTGGGATGCAACAAATAAAAACCTGTTATTCTGCCTGAGAAACAGAAAAATGAAGACCGCCAACCCCTAAGTGAGGCCAAGGATACTTAAATGATGCTTAAGTGGCTAACAAGCATTTAACGTCCCAGCCTGTAGTCAGAAGAATCAAAAGAATGAACCTGAAAGAGCATAATACACCTAAACCATCAACGTCTACCCAGTTTGTGAATTCCACTCATCCTAATTATCATTACAATTATCTAAAAATCTTCAATACCAAAAATTAAGCTTGTACAGGCAGGAAAAAACCCTCAGACTTAGGGGGAGTGGGCTGTCTGATGCCAGAAATGCACTGAGAGCGCTGCTGCGTTTGATTTTTCTTTCCAAAACCGTGGTGACTTCTTTTAAATAGATGTGAATTCACAGATCTCTCACAGTCTCTCCTCTAAGAGACTCTACAGGGCTAGAAGTCATAGTGTGGCTAAGCTGGTACTGCCAGATCCTCGGCTAAAACTTGCGATCAATTTGCCCTATGAATGGCATATTGGAAGCTAGGAAACACCTCCCTGTTTACTGAATTCTGGCCATATTATGATACAGTGATAGCCACAGACCATACCCTGCTTTGGAATTTTATGCTTAAGTGCAAAATTGCCAAGCAATTTACAAATATTTCAGCTTGTCATTTTCCTTCTCTTGGACTGGTTTACAAGCTGTCAGTCCAGATGGTCGGCTCTAAATCAACAGCTAGAGCATGTGGTACTGGGAGCCTGGAATGATTTCTGACTGTTGACAATCTGAGAGAACTATATACTACTTCATTAAATCAGTGCAGATTATAACCTGCCAAAGAAATTACTTTTCAAAGTGATTTATATTGGAGAGGATTCTGAGAAGACATTTTCACCCTTTATGCTGCTTATTTATGTTTCGTGATTACCGTATTCTATGTGACCAGTAAAAAAACAAAACAAAAAAACCCACCACACCACAAAAACAAAGCAAACAAAACCCCAAACCAAACCAGTATTAATTAACATTTTGCAGTTCTACAGAGCTTGCTGGGGCACTTCAGTGCCAGAGCTATCTAACTAACTTGAAAACTTGGTCTTCTGGTATAGACTACAACATCATAGACTACAGCAGCAATAAGATACAGACAAGTTCTTTCTGCTCTGCTTCTGTCAGATGTTTGTGTGTAGTGGTAGTGAACAAAAGGCTATTCTAACACATCACTGCCCTCCGGTCCGGGTCAGATTTTGCCTCAAAAATCTAAAGAATTCTCTTGCTACAAGTTTTAGGCTATCTTTTTGTTGGCGGTTTTTCTTTTTTTCCCTTCTGTAACTAGTTAGGAATTGGAGCAGAAATTTTTAAGAATATTCCTGAACAGCAGGATTACTGAAGTATCTAATTAACATTTAATTAAAAGAATCTGTGTTCTAGAAGTTATGCTAATAAGATTTCACATCTACTGGATCTAAACTTTAGTTTTCACTAACTAAGGCACTTCAGCAGTTGTTAAACAAGCAGCCTTTTCAGCTGGGCTGCGGCAATCTTACCTTTGGTCTCCTTCAGTGAATGGTTGCTACAAGCATTAGTTCAGACAGCACCGTAGTAACTCTTTAGCTGATACACAGTTCACACGTAAAGCTGTTGTAACAAACTATTATCTTTAGTTATATGTTGAAAGCAGTTTGGATGCTTCTTTGCTAGCCTGATAATTGTCCTTGGCTCTGGATCCTTTGTCTGTGCATAGTTCCAGCCCATAGACCTTAGCAAGGCTACCTTTCCCCAGTTTTTCAGTATTGCAGTTAAAATACAGCTACTTACTAGTCTAAACTGAAGAAAGTCTAAACCTAAGAAATTGTTCTTGACTGACAGTAATCTATAGCTATTTTGAGCAGTTTAAATTCATTCTGTTTGAGAAGTGGTTTGACATGTACCATGTAACAATGAGGAATCCTCTTTCTGATACACACTACGGAAAAATTTCAATAGCTACTAGAGGAAGAAACTCCTCAGTCACCACATCTGAATGATGAAATCTATCCACTTTTGCAGGATAAAATGTGGAGACACAATATTCCTGCAGATGAAATACTCTGAATTTCAGCCCAAATGACTGTATAACAAAGATAATTTTTCCTAACTATGGAGAATTGGGTGATAAATCAAAGACTTGATTTGCCAAGGTACTAAGGTCAGTACACTACATAGTAAGTGCTCTTAATTTAGTGAAACTTGGCAAAGGATCAGCAGGATTTTGCCCTCAGTTAAGTTTTGCTCTAAGCAATTTGACAGCTTCTATCTTTGGGATCCCCTTGAAATCTTAAGTTTTCATTAGGAGAGTTATTCTGCTTCTATACTTATAGGTTTTATCCCTGGGTTATCTAGACCAAGTAAAATCACTTACATAACTTGTGCTTGTCATATCTGTAAGCTGAATTTCTGAGATAACAGCTTTACTCATTTCTTTCCAACTGTGAAGAATCTCTGCAGTCTGTAATTCTGGTAAGCGGTTTAGAATGGATGCCTTCTACAGAACCAATCTTTCCCCCGCCCTCCCACAAACCCACCCCAGTCCTATTTAAATAGGATCTAAGAAATGCAAATTGTTAAAATAAGCATTCAATAGCGACTGCATTAGGTAGAGGGAAGACACCCGGAACCTGAAGACAATTAAGAATAAAAGTTCATGTAACCACTCTCTAATAGCATGAAATCTCTGGGAGCTGCTGAGCTGAAATAGCATCTTTATGTTACAGTGCAAACACAACCAGTCTTCAGGCATTACTGACTTGGACTACAGAAACACCCAGATATTTGTGCCTCTGTAAATTGCTATTTGGTCACTATCCGTATACTCACAAGGTATCTGTCACTCCAGTGCAGTGCTCAAGGCCTGTATGGGTTAGGAAAAGTAGTACCTTTCCCATTTCATAGTAAATGTAAGAGGTCTGACATGATTTATCCAGCATCATATCCCAAGTCTGGAAAGACTGGTGATTGACCTTCTTAATAAAGAACAGTTGGCATGAGGCTGGCTTCCAGATCATGTTTCCCATGGACTTTAATTAAAGGTAAAATAGCTGGGAAATAACAAAATTTTCTTTCATACAATTTTCTGAATCAATTATACCCAGTGTGCACTTCATTTCAGACAATGTTTAGTGTGCAAATTCGCATGATGAAACTCTGTGGGGTTGCTATTCCCTAGGGACTTTATACTTATACCACAGAACAGGCACAACACAGGGAATCTTGTACGAGTGGAAAAGCATGTATTAACCCAGATATTTCATAGCTACGGCTGGTCTTGGGAATCTGGGGTAGTAGGATACCCAAGTCCAACTTCCACAGCAGTGTGGAACTCAGAGTGCTTGTAATAAGGATGTCCTCCTGAAATGTCAAGGAAAAAAGCAAATTGTCCTTCAGCTTCCTACGACGACAAGATGGGTCTGGCACAACGGAACCTCAAGACATCACCTACTGACTTAAGATTTCGTTATTTAGCTACAGAAGGCAGCCAATAATGAAAGGGTAGCTCACCTGCTTTGAATGACAATGCAATCCTGATAAAGTCGGTCATACATACAGATCTTTAAATCAACGTTCGGACTGGGCACCCAAACCGGCACATCAATAGAAACTCCAGTGGCACTAAAGCACAGCTGTTAATACAGAAATCAAGAGTGTAATTATTTTTGTTAGTCTCAATTTCTTTCTGATCTAGACAGAGCAAGAATTTCTGCTATAAACTACAGCTGAGTAAAATATTTTAGTATTCATATTGCAACAGGGTCTTTAATTAGGGAAAGCTATGAAAATCATTTGTAAAATAAAACCTAGATGTTATGGTGCCCCAGCAGAAAAAAAATATTATACTTTGGTTTGGATTCTTTGACAGAGAACATGAAGGAATAGCATGCTGCCCACGATATTGAAAAGAAATATTTAAAATGCATCTAGCTTAAGTGAATGTGCCATAATTCAGAAACTCAAGAGACTGCAGCTTGTTCAGCCAGCAAAGACGGTAATGGCAGCACAGTGCTGTAATTCCTATAATGACCTCAGGTCTGACACCAGTGACCACATAGCTCAGACTTGGATAAAATGATCCTGAAAGAGAGGGTACCCATAGGAGCCTTCAGTGTGCAGCTGCAGCTCCTTTTGTAGACAACTCCATCTGTAGACCATGGGGAGAGCCAAGACTGGCCTACTGAGCTTCTTGGAAGTTTTGCTTTATTTTTTTGGCAAGCTTCTGCAAACTGTTCGCAGGCAGAATTTGGCTTCCAATAAAGTGTAGAATCAGAATAGGCTGAAGTGGTAACTAAAGTTGTCATCTCTTCCAGGTTTCACACATCAGTTTTACTACTGCATGCTAAATAATTCCAATTCTGATATATCAGAAAGAAAATAAACTACGTGGGTTCAGAATAGAGGAGAATACTTTCATATTTGTTTCCAGGACACTAGATATTTTCCAGTATGAGGTCTGATAAAATGGGAATATCAGGATTATTTGCATAGAAATTAAAGAGAATCAACAGGTTTCATAACCATACTCCATGAGAAAGAAGGGCCATGATTTACCAAGTGACCTCCCATCAAACCACATAATACATAATCACATGGTACCTCATTGTTATTTCTTCTAATATTCATAAACATAGCTCTCCTCTACCTCCTCCTCCTGTTTCTAACATAGGATTCTAAGCTCTTCTAATTCTTGGGAAATGCAGAAGTACGAAGATTTTAAACTCTTTTTCTGCAGTGTTTTGAAGCAAGTCTTGCACAAAATCACTCACTGGTTTGCAGTCTGAGTTGTCAAACATGATCACAAACTCTGCCCGCACATCCCCAGGGATAGCTGGGACAAACAGAATCTGAAGTTTGACTGAGCTGAAGGGTCCAATGTCACCTTCAGTAACCTAAACAAGAAGTAACATGTTTTTAATGAAAATGACTGTATTACTGTAGCTGGCTATAAAGCGTATTAAAATAAAGAAGCAGTACATACTCATACTATACAAACACTCTACTACATCTAGTTTGTAACTAGATTGAAAGCACTATGCAAGGGAAAAATTCAGTATCAGTAGCTCCCTAGGAGGTTTACTGTGGGGAAAAGACTTGGCATGACACAAGGTTTCACAACCAGGCATGGTCAGAATCTTACTGAGAGTCTCCCTTTACTGCAAGACTCTATATGACAGCTACATAATGTGGTTTACCAAAGTGTTTCCATTATATACTGGTGAATATGTAACTAAAACATGGAGAAGCTGTCTTGTGCTACCAAAGATCTGCTCTCCTGATTGCAGCATTAAGTCCACCTGTCTTTTGTATGCATATGTAGAAGCCCTAAACGCTAGTACTAACTACTATCTGGACTCTCATACCCAGATTTTTTAATATGGCTCAAGTTTGACATTTCCCAGACGTTCTTCCTGCCCATCTTTTATGTTGTCACTAGACTTTGTATAACCACAGAGTGACATCGCAGAAAAGTTAAGAAAAAAAAAGAGTTAAATTATGCAAAACGTAAATGTATATAGAAGCTTTCAGCTCAAATAAGTCTTTATAGATCAAAAGAAAGGGCAAATGTGTCATGTGATTTCATTTTAAGAATTAATTGCGATACAGTGAAGTCCATTGGGCTTGAAATTGCTCATATACTTAAGCACTTCCTACCAGAGCCAAGGCAATTTCCTTGACGTAGGCTTAGACTAGTGAAAAGTCTTGTCTGTATCTCAGGATATTCATTACCTTTCCAAGCATAATTTCAACTGGTGTTTCATCAGGAGAAAGTTCCACTAAATTATGTGCATTGTCTGTGTCTAGATCTGATCTGGAATGCAATACATCTTGACCAAGTTGTTCTGGGGATAAAAGAACCACAAACAAGACCCCACAAAATGCTGGATGTGTGCACTATTCACTAAACAAAAATATCAAACAGTAGAAATGCATTATTTTGGTCAATATCGCAAATCCAATAATGTATACCAACAATGGGGAAACAAATGTCTAGAAGGAAATTTCTGTTTGGCCATACAAATTTGCCCTAGTCCAGAAGACTACCTTAGGCACCTGAGCCTTCTACAGAACAACAATATATACTTTATCCTACTGAAACATTAATATCGGAGGTTGTTACATTAAGGAATGCAAATTCAACTGAAAGTGTGAACTGGGCTTTAATAACCATTTCAGTGGGACAAAGCGATGCAGTCAGGAGGACCTGCAAAGCAAGTGCAAGTGCTGCTTCCCTTTATTTTCAAAACAACTGCAATAATAAGTACCTTTTAATTAAACAGTCTCCCACTAGGGCTTCAAAGTGCTTTAATTTAAATCATCACGAGAGAGATCAAGCTGACTCTGGACTGTATAGCAGTAATCAACTGGCAATCATATGCTTGACATTAACCAGGAAAAAGAAAACATCTTTAAAGGTATGTGTTCTGTGGAGACAGCTACTGTGATATATGGAATCACTCAACTGCACAATACAGATCCCAGATTTAAAAAGAAAAACCACCCACAACCTTTTCATGGAACTTTTAGTTTCCTGCAGTTGGAACGATCAATATCCAGAAAAAACATTAAAGAATACAGACAATAAAGAAATTAAGAAAGTGTTTCTTCTACAAGACTGGATTTTATTAAGCACATAGTAAACATTAGGAATGAGATGGAAAATGTCTGAGGAGGTTCATCTTTCTACCCTTGTTCCTAGAATTACAGACTATAAAAATAAACCTGTCATGTGGATTTCTATTCTGAGAAGTGGGTATTCAGTTGCTGAGACAAGAATGATGATAACAATTTTGCAGTTTCTGTAAGCTAGTTGCTTTCTGTATTCTTCTGAGACTGAAGAGTTGATCGCTAATGAGAAGTGAGATTCTCTGCTGCTTTTGATATAATGGTGTCAGTACATTATTTTTAGGCATTTTTTGTGAGGCAGCAGACAAAGAAGTGTAACATTACTACTAGAATGATGAACTACTTAATTTACTGAGTAACTTTGCAAACTGAATTCCAGCTGGAGACTCTACAAATGGATAATGCTCAGCCTGGGAAACTGCACTGCCAGTTTTCTAAAGTAGTCATCTTACCTGTGGAACTACTCCTCGGGCTTGTCTCAGTCCTCTGCTCCTCTACCTGGGCTACACAGTAGGTTACTTCTTCACTATGATCAGGACAAAATTGTTCCTTCTGTTCAGCCGCAGATGTCACAGGACTATTGCTAACTTTCTCTTCAGGGACACAGTCCCTGAAATGTTGAGTAACCTATTAGAAAACACAGAAAAAATATTTTCTACTGTGCCTGTTCATCTAGCTTGCACCAGCTCCAATTTTATCAAGCAGTTGCAAATCAGACTTGTGTTTTCTTGCAACTACTTCACATTCTAAATGGAGAAGTGTGTTGCACTGTCCAAAAACCCACACATTCTACTAGACCTTTATCAATAAGCAGATTTAATTTTTGCTAGCTGGCCGAAACAGGTAGATAATATAATCGGAGCAATACAATACAGTGTCAATTATTTTTACTATTAACAGAATTGACATCTTTCTACTGGAAACACAGGCAGTTCCATGTCAAAACTAAGTCTGCTAAAACTAGATTTCTGTTTATTGCACACCTACAAAAGACAGAATACAGAAGGAAAACCATGGATACAGACAGTGTTATTTCACAAATTCTTTATCTGAACCATGCTTTTAATGTAAGGATAGTATGAGAGTTGAAAACCATGCTCATGTTGAAACAGCTCAGCAGTTTCCCTGTACTTACTATTTAATGTAGGGTTTCAAAAAAGACGTCAACCCTTTCCTTAGAACTTAAAAATTGGTTAGATTATCAAGTAGAGAATTTTGAAAACCATCTGAGCCAATTGTTCTTCAACAATCAAAGTAAAGACCACACTGGTGCAACACAAATGAAGTATCTGCATTGAGTTTACAGAACATCTAGGCACTTTGTAACAATGATATGCAACCTAGTAGTGATACTCTGTCTGGTCAAGGACCTGTGAAATCTATCTATTTATGGGTGCCACCTATGCAACACCTGAGGAAAAAGGAACATTTATGATAATGATATTCATCACCACAGGAATTACAGAGCACGTGGTTGTTGTTGTTTTGTTTTTCAAATCTGAAGATTTAAGAATAAAATCCACAACTTATTTAGAAAAGGAGCAAGTATGCTTTCAGACTTATGCTGTTCAGTCTTCTCAGAAATCTGTCCTGCAGTGCTGACACGCAAAGATGATTGTATGCATGCTTTCTTTCTAAGCGTTTTTCACGTAAAATGATCTACTACATGGAGGAGCACAGCTGTTAGGATTCCTCAGTTTTCGGTCAGCTTTGAAAGTGGGATGCTGTAGGAGCAATCAATATCATGTCTAACACCACAAATTTTGTCAGCTCTGCACCAAGTGTCTGAGTTTTGGTGCATTTCTTCGACGGTCTCTGCTTCATTCCCACCCAGGACATTCCACAGGACACAATATGACAATCGATTGCACTATTGATTTGGGAGATCTTCCTTCAATTCATTTAATGCTATTTATTGCTATAGTTCTCAGGCAACAGCCCTCAACGGAATTCTTAGAAGACGACGACTTCTCTTGTAACAACAGCTTGTCAGTAACTGTGACTGTCTTTCTTTGATAGGAAATTTAAATGAACAGCTCTGAATTTTTAAAGGAAGATCACAGGCTAGCGCTCCCAATTCTTATTACTTTATTGCTAGGTCTGCAACAGTTAGCACTTTTCTGAAGTCCAGGAGCTGGGATTTTAAATGACTCTGTCAGAATTGCCTCTTTTAACTGAAGTATTTTTTCCTAATTTTCATAGATGTGGAAAAAATAGGAATCATGCCATAAATGACTGAAATGTTTAAAAAAAAATTATCATTGTTGGTCACACACCCCCCCATTTCTTTTTAAATTTGTCTTGTGATATTTGGGGGTCTAACAGATTATATTAAGATATGCTAACCCAAACATAAACAAACTACTACAGGTTAGACTAGATGATCTTCCAAAGCCCCTTCCAATCTGAGCTGCTCTATGATTCTACCACTCTTTGCAAAGCAGAATGTTTTGATTAATTTATGGAAATGCTTTTGAACCTACCACTCTTCCAGAAGGTTTTGCTGTTGCTCTGCATGTACTACTGTCACCTGCTGATGCCTGAACTTTGAATCTTGTTCCCAAAGCTCCACTGTTTGTCAGGTTGATGGTCCGTGAAATTGTCTCTCCCACCACATGGCTACCAAAGTCAATGAGCTCTTTATCTAGTGCCAGCTGTGAGAAGATAAACCATTAATTACTACTGTCCTAGATAGTCAGTAATGTCAATTAATTGAGCATTCACCTTTTCAAGAATAAGACTTTAAAGTTCTTATTATCATTTCAAAGATAACAACATGAACCATGGGTATCCTTCTGCCTTTTTGCAGAAGCCAACTCATTAAAACAATGTCTTGTTAAACTGAGCCACTTCCATTTCAGTCCACTATATGACAATGGAAAAAACACATTAAAATCTGGTCATAATAGCAGCTTGCATAAGTCTTCACGTAGTCACTCTGCAAGGAGGTAATATTTACGTACCAATTCAACATTGTTCTTGTGTTACAGAAAAATGCTTTAACTAGCATCAAGCTGAAAAGCAAGCAGCATTTAACATCGTATAGTGACTATGTATCAGTTTATAACACATCCTGACTTGTTTCTTTGAGCTATCATGGTTTACAGTCAGTTTAAAAAGTACTACACTACTTCATATAGAATTTTTAATGACTTTAACTGGGTCTGTGATAATGAAAGGCTTGTAATTCAAGTTCAAGCGTTAAAGAGACAAAGATAACTTCATTGCTTGCTACTATCCTGCTTATAGCTGAACTCTTCCCACTTTCAGGCCATAAGGAACAGGAGTTCCTGTGTGTAATTAGCACACAATGATGGTATGAATTCTCTAGGTGAAGAAAACTACTCCTTTGATCAAAGATTAATGTGCTGGCTTTCCGCTGCATTGTGCATTCTCATCTTCAAGGTCTTTTGACTGAAACCCATCAGAGAGTCCTACAGACATACTCAGATTTAAGTATGTGATATTGATGTGATATCATTCTAGCTTCCTACAAGTGCTTAAAATTAAGCACATTCTTAAATACTTTGCTAGATTGCTAATATAATAATTATAGTTCACTACCTCTCAGTTACTTAGCCCCTTCTATTTTCTGTGTAACAAATTATTCTTGATTCATTTCCCTGTGCACAAAAGTTTCAATGTGCAGCCCAGTAAAGAAACATCACATGCGATCTCATACATTCAATTTACTGAAATGTAATATCACAAACTCCAGGAAGACATTCATACATCTAAAGCTTTTTTAAAATTGGTTTTTAATTTTTATTATTAAGTATGCTCCCCATATATCCCAAATTTTGCATTTGCTAGTTTTATTCCAATACTGGGTGTCTCCTTGCATAATCTTTTTCCTCTAGCATTGTATATACTCATCTATAGTTTCTTTTGGCATGTAAAGCCAAAGCTGCTCTTAGCTGTGAATGAAATAATTCAAAAACAAAGTTGTTGCTTTTATCAAATACGTTCTTCAAGTTCTCTCACAGGAAGTTAGGGCATCTAAAAAAAGTTAGTGCTGCCTGTAGTTCCATCTCTTAACAGTAAGAAAATTATGTTATTTAAAATTCAGTATAGAATTCTCAAAAGATTTTCAGATGCTGAAATAAAGGAGATATAATATGATTTTTATAAGTGTCAGAAATGATAGAAAGATATGGTATGATTTTTGTCTATATAGAAAATTAAAGTTAAGAATAAATTACTGCAGGCAGGTCTGGGATGAAGTTTCCAAAAATTCCAAGGAAAAAAAAAGATAGCTCATTTCCAGCCACCATTTCTCTCCCCTCCATTCATAATGTAACATTGCATCATCAATTTCTAAACAGAACTACGTCAGTTAATTCCACTCTGAAGTTAAAGCTACAGTTCATGGTTAAGTAAACCCATGAAGATAATTTTGTATAAATCTCAGTGTAATCTGGAAAGCTAAGGAATCAATCATTTTCTGGGAAGACAGTCTTCATTTGAAAAGGAAAAAAGAAAGAAGTGTAAATACTTCTTGCTCAATATTTTCAATAATATTTATGCTATTTCACATTTTCTATTACTGTTGTTGTACTGACTCTGAACATACTTAAAAAAAGTCACTTACAATGCATCTCTTGGCTGTACATTTCAATGGAACAGAAAAAGAACCTGTCTGTGCCATAAACATCACTTGTCCTTCCAGAGTTTCATTTATCTAGAAAACAAACAAAAAAACCCCAAGTAATTTGCAAAGATTTAGCCTATGTAGTCTGAAGAAAAATATTTTCACTCATTCTTTGAGTAACATATTAAAATGTATCTCTACAGATTCTACATTTCTGCTTTAAAATAGTCTTCGATAACTGCCTGGCTAATTTTAGCTAGGCAATATTATAAATCTTTTCGTTTGGAGCAAGTTTCAAAACATACTCCAAGAATACTTAAGTGACAGGCATTTTCCTAAAATGTGTCCTTAGCATATGCCGTAGTGCCATTTAACAGAGCTTGAACATGCACGCAGTTGTCCAAGTATAACAGTACCTTTTCTAGAAATGTGGTTTGTTTCCTTGTTGACAGTTAAGAAATTAAATTAGTAATGTTTTTAATCAGCCTAGTGGATTATACTAGGATTCTCAACATTGTGTAACTTAGCACTCAGATGCACTTACCATCGGCTTAAATGTTACCTCTATTTCACAGGACATTCCAGCAGACATTTTGCCAGGTGGGTCAAAACTACAGAGATAATTAAAACTCCAAATTAAAGCTATGTATGAAACATCCAGTTCCTATTCTGATAACAATGGTAGATTATTTTTATTTTTTTTTCCCCCACTTGGATTAATTACTTAGAAAAGTCAGAATGAGTGACAGATTAATGAAAAGCCACAGAACCCTGCTGCAATTGTAAAACTACAAAGGCTGATTCTTTATTGAGGTTTACTGAGAAAGTCTTAAAGAGCTTTTCAAAGGCAAGAATTGTTGCCTTCAGGCTATAGACAAAGAGACTGTAGCCAAACAGAGGAAGTTGAGGCTTAATAATATCATCAAGAATAGGGTGGACAAATCGCCTATTCGAACAACTAGAAAGCAGTCTTCTCCCACTGTCCAGTTTGAGTGTTGCTCTGTAACATCTCCCCTGTCCAAACAGGAAACAGAGAGGAAAAAGAAAAAGAAAAAAAGAAGGTAGCTGCAAATGATTAGAGAATGCGCTGCTTGCTGCAAACTGTATAAAAATTATCTTGAATAGAAACTGCCACTCATTTCAATGCCTCATTTCATGGTCTCTGTGATGCAAGCAAAATGCCCATCAGAAGACAAGAAATCTCACAGCTGCACTCTAAATGAAATTATTAAGGCACTGCTGGAGACCTATTCTGCCTGACAGAAACAGAAAGGAAGTGAGACAAAATAGATAACTCAATGTTGTTAGCCATGGGAATACCTAAGCAAACTGAAACACAGAACATGCATGTTAATTGCAATTTTATCAAAACAAAATTAAGACAAAACAAAAGGAAGATGAAACATTTTCAAACAGAAAAGGGAAAGACTGTCCCGAATTCAGGAGCTTAAAATGTGAATAGGGAAATAAGCATCTGTATACTGATCTTTGGAACAGATCACTAGCAGTTTCTGCTGAGAAAGACTTTAAGGAATAGCTCCTTTATTTCAAACGTTACCTTGATAAAATATTTATGATTTAGGGCATAGGCTGCCAAACACACACAGAACCACTATGCTAAGGACAGAGTCCTGTTGTATGGGGATGTAATAATGCTGCTCATTTTAACAATTAGAATATAGATTTTTATTAGCAAATACAGTGTCTGTCACTGATAACAGTTCTTGAGCATTATAACTACCTGCGCAAGTGATTTAGAGGACAGCTGATACCATGACAGCTTAGATGTACCAGGTATTTTCAAAACACCGGGTAAAACCATTTTGTAACAAAAAATTTATGGATGGTTCTACTTGAGAAGAGATAAGCATTATATAGTGTAAGATCAGTGTCTGCAAATCTGATCTGTACTGTTCAAATTGTTAATAATATATCAATGGATAATAAGGTCTATAGATTATTTTTGCTATCTATCTATCGGGGTAACCAATTTATTTGAAAAAACTGAATGAATTAATCAGACATCAAAAAACCACTGGCTCATTCTACTCCCAATACCTGATGTTTCATTGCATTTGGAGAATACTTTGAAAGGCAATTATATCAAGGAAAGACTTAGGCCTTTCAGAAAGACTTTTTTCATTTTTGGTCACAAATCAGAGGTGCCGATTTAAAATATGCAATTGCCCAACATACTAAATGGAGGGGAGGGGGCGGAATCAATCCGCAGGAGCAGGAGAAAACTTCATTTTGTCAGAAGATTAGTAGCTTCAGTCTTGGTAACAGAAATTAAACATGTATACTAAGTGAATCAAAATTAAATCCACATACATGATTTCAAAACAAGCAAAAAACTACATTCGTATCCAGCCAAGCACCGGAGCAAGTTTAAAAGCTTAAGCGCTCTGCTGTATTGTGGTCAATTATGCATCTCGATTAGCCTGTGACTGAAGCACTAAACATCTTTACCATGAACTTCTACAGCAGCTGGATTCAGATTTTATAGCTCTCATTTGGTCAAGCACTGTAGTATCTTCACATTCCAATGTACTCTTATAGGGACTAAGTGGGCAAGGAATGGCTTAACTATGCACTGTAATGTTTCTTACCAAGCTAGCTAGAAATTCCAAGTGCCATCGATCACTACGAAGTCGCAGTGGGTAGTGAGCTGTAAAATTATCTCTGGAGTATGAAACCAGTTACTGTGCTAATACAACTGTTTACTTCACTGGGGTATGATTAAACAGTCACAGAAATGGTTTTTTCAGGTCATATAGCCGTAAGAGTTGAAACCTTAACTTTTTATGTAAGCCAAATGAATTCACTCTCATGTCTCTTATTTGTCAATAAGCTTCACTTACACACAAACAAGAGCTTTAGCATTTTTTCCACTTTTAGGCTAGATTATAATCAATATTTTGTTTTTGTTTCACAGAGTTCTAGATAAAGATGTTACTGTCTTGACTTCATATTTCAGATAAAGGCAAGTTGTGAAAAGTAATATTTTATGTTTTTAAAGGCTTAGAATATCTCCAGAGAAGGCTACTTCCACTTGTTTATGTATAAACAGTCAAATAAAATTATCAATATAGTTAAACGGAGATTAATTTGCAATCTCTCCCAACTGGACAGAGTACTTCATTATATAACCTGTCATCAGGATCACATGAATGGATTGATGGGAAAGACCACAGGATTTCAAGTTAAGTGCTCTTTGCTCTGAGATTGATTCCTTGATTTCATCAGTTTCTTCACATATAAACTTCAGCAGTAATCTGGAAATCAGTGCGAATCATGCTATGAGGCATGACAGCTGGTGAAAGAGGTTTGCCTAGGCTTAAAGGCCCTTGTGGTGGCCTAGAAAGAAGCTTGGGTCCTCTTTTACTTCTTGGTACCAAAGAGATCCTTTTCCCCTTTTTAAAAGAGTCTGACATATTTTACAAAAGCTTTCTAGTTGTTCAGGCTGGCAGTTACCACAGGTCTATATTGCTTTCCACAGATTAGGGACTGGTCCCTTGTTGTCACCACTACAGAAACCAATGACATGCAGCTCAGGCTCAGTAAGCCTCTTTACTCCTCAGCTCTGACACAGTTCCTTTCCTCATCACACAAGAATAAGCCATAATAATTTAAATGTATTTACTGAAATATATTTAATTTGCTACAGAATTTGGTTATATCTCCTCTTGTGGTACAAAGGAAAACCAAGCAACAGTTAATTTTACTTACTGAACACTGATGAAGTCCTCGAGCCATTCACTGACTCCCACTAGTCTGCAGAAATTAACACTGTAGGATGCATTTATCAAAACTATCTTCTTTTTGTAGACTTGACCAACATCAAAATCCTTGGAATACCAAACATATCAGGTGGTGTGAATTACAGGAAGGAACATTTACACATGTAATAACAAAACCAACTACTTTTACCATAGTTGTGCTCACGGTCCCTACTGAGATCACAGGCCTGTGTGCAAAGTATTGTATAAACCCCTAAAGCATTGCTTGGCTCCAAACCAATCCTTTCAAAACACACAGCCTATAAAGCCAGGAAGTCCTGTTTCATGGATGGGGCAACATTATCCGAGTTTATGCACAACTAATGCACCAAGGTGCTCTGTCTTTTCCTGCAGTGAATGTCCAAGATGTTACGTCACATTCATGGTAGAGTTGTTAACAATTTAGACTCTGTGTGGCAAAGACAACACAGATTTTTTGAACAGAGAGCTAGATGTCACTGTTTTCTGATGGAGGTCTGCTGTTTCTGTGTGAGGCACAGGCTCCCAGCTCCTAATAAAACCATAACGCCATGAAAGCTGCCTACCTGGGCACATTCATTAACACAGAGACAAGAAATGTCCTGCAGGCTGACTGGCAGCAGGTTTCTCTGACACAGTCAGAAGACTTGCCTCATGTGCCACACTAGCAACCTTTTCAAGTACAGAGAAGAACCAGGCATACTGTTACACTTTCTCACAGTACGCTTGTTCATCACAATACAGAGATAAACTGCAGCTCAGTTTCCTTCTGATCAGTACCATATGATGGTTGCTTGCAAACTGAAATCATAACTGGATAGTAGTCACGACTTCTTTAAGGACATTGTTTTATAGTAATAATGTATATACAAACAAGATCTAACAACGGTTATGCTGCCTTTTAAAAAACATGGAACATAGTCTAACAAAATGTTTCATTATTTGCTCACCTTTCTGACAGTATTTAAATCCCCCTAAGGAAAGGAAGCATTTTATAATTCAGACTTAAGTAGTTTATTTCATCTGACTATAACTTACCTAAGAGATTGCTAGAGAAAAAGGCAACTACTGTTTCAGGTTTGACTAAAGACCTATTAAAGACAACAAGAAATTTTTTTTTCTTCGCACTGCAACAGAATGTTGATCAAGACATCAGTATATACATACACCATCTTTATAGATCCTATGCAGAACAGCCACTAACCTTGAAATGAATGCAGCTTGGTTTACTATAGAAAGTACATCGCTTATGTTCATGACCAGACACTATTTCCTTGTGAAAAATTCCAGTTCGGAATTCCTCCATTTTTTTCTCAAAAATTTCTTTTTTCACTGCCCTTGTAGCCAGCTGCTTTGGATCCATTTCTTCTTTCAATATCTAATAAGGAACATCCGTGAAAAAACACCATGACTGTAAGTGCGACCACACAATCTGTAGCTCAAAGTAGAAAAGTCTGCGAATGGAATCTTTTAGTATCTGGCCAGCCTTTGTCTGTTTCTCTCCCAATCAAATGCAGCCTCTCGACTTCTATATGAACGATTTAATTTATTCTCAGCTGTCTCTTCTGTAGCTTGTCACCCAACACTATGACACAGTGTTTTTAGTGGCAGTATTGTATCAGCTCTTCTGCACTTAAAAGGGTTTTTTTCCCCCCTCAACTTCTTAAACACTTATTCAGAAAAAAAATCAGTTAACTTCACTGGAACATTTCAGTTATGTTCCAGTGTTTCTTTCATGCAAGTATACGAATACGTACTGACATTATTTCCTTTTGATTGATTACAAAGTCTGCTCTTAAAGGTCTTCTACAGTTTAGAAAAAGCAGTATATGCAAGTATACCTTGGAATAACATTTAAGATCTCAACTACACAATTCCACTCTGTAAGACTGTATTATTTACTTCTGTTTAGAGTACAGAATACTGTTACTTTGCTAGAAGACTTGCTTTTCTTTGCCTAGTGTGGTGCAAAAGAAGTTGTTTCCACACAAAGCAATCTGTCTGCGTTGCCACTCAACAGAAAGTCATGTTTAATTTTTTTAAAACTCAAACAAATGAACATTATGTGATGTATGTCTTCACATATCCCTGAACTAAAATGGTTTGGTTTTCTCTTTAAGAGAACAAGCACTGCAAGAACAGCGTCAAACAGCAATTACTCTGATGGTATTCCCACGTATGAATCTCTACATCTATGTAATAATGTAAAGTCTGCGTTTTAAAAACAATAATTATCTGTTTTGCAGTTAAGCAAGGTACCTAAAACAGCACTTGTCAGTGACATTAATTCAGATATATACAACTACTAGAGAGGCAAATGAATCTTTTCTAATCTATTAAGATACTTTTATGGATACTGTCAAAATTTTATAAAGACTAACTTCACAATGAGTCAATTACAAAAAGATCTCATCCACTTTTTTTTTCTTCTTTTCTATTTTTAATAAGAGATATCACAACATTTACCTTGTGCAAGTCACATTCCTGACTCCAAAGTCCTGGGAACTCTGGTTCTACCAGGGTCTTGTTTCTCTTTTTCTCATCTTCACCACTTTCACAGAGCACATCATGGGGTATTTTTTCAGAAGTCTCTCCTACAGAAGCAGTTCTCTCACCAGCTGAGGAACAAGCTGACGGAGAGCACCATGACTTTTGTGAAAGAACATAAATTTTAAAGATATAATTAAAAATTACTAGAACACAGTTACTTCAACAGTTAACAGTTTCTGAGGAGATCTTTTAAAACAAAAATGACAGGTCTATAAAGCTCAGAGGCCAAAGATGAAAACTTAGGTTGATCGCTTCTTAAAACACTGAATACAGCCAAAATCTTACATTAAAACCATCTATACGATGTTAACTGTATACTATAGGAGGCTAGAAACTAGTTCTCAGGCATGAGAATACTGACTGTAGTTTTTGAACATTCTGTATATCACGTGATAACCAAAGACTTTGTTGCTTTGTTGTAGTATGACTATTTCTACCAACCACCCTCTCCCACCCCATTTCTTTTAAATACCTAAAGATTGCAAGGAGCTGCTACTTTCATCAGGGAATTCAATTTCACTCCACCTACATTTTCCAGGCCAGTATTCCCTGGAATACTGTGCAGATAAAAAACCCTATCCAGGAAGCTTATGTCTAGAGAGAACCACTGTCTCCTTAATACACTGGAAACATTTCTGTTGTGCTGACAGACCGATCTGAGTCCTTACTCAGGGATGAGGGAAGTGAGGGTACTTTGCATGGCTTCTGCTGCCTGTTGCAATTCATGCGTCTGAAAATTCACCTCTTACAAATGCCCTTAACCGCCCCCCCCCAAACAGGACGATGTCTTTATTCATACAAGCATCAACAATCAAGAAAAGGGAGGCTAACAGTCCTTAAGCGATCTAATGGAGAAATTACTCTGCACTTGTTCTGTACTGTCTGGTATTTGATTGTAGTCTGTGTTATTCATAGGCAAAAGAACTCACTGACCTGCACCTTTGACAAAAGTAAATCTAAAGACAGTTAATTCTTAGGCCTTTGTTTACCTGTGATATTGCTCCACCTGAATGCTTGCAGGTCTTCTCAATATATTGCCATGTTTTCATTCTCCACAGTAAAGGATCCTCAAGTTTACCACCACCCTTAATTGCCTTAGTACAGGACTGACTTTTCTTCTGCTTGTGAATAGAAGCTTTTTCTTGCACAATTTGAGACACAATCTCAATTTTTCTTGATTTTTGCTGTTCTCTAGAAGCTCTGTAATCCAATGTTGTACAAAATATTAAACCAATCATGGTTGTTTACTGATAATATTAACTACAGTCCAGTTTCTTTTGAGCCTTTAAGCTAAATAGCATGTCTTTAAACTGGGCGCAGTGGTAATTTGTGTCAAGGCACCAGGCAATTCAGAGGCTATTTATACATTTTTGCGGACTAAATATACTCAGTTACAGTGTTTCAGAAGTTGAGGAGTTGACAAAGCATACCAGTCATCGTTACTGAAAATGAAGTTTTTAAATAATTTTCCTATTTTCCTAGTTAGCTACTTAAATAAAACTGCCTGTCTGAAATTCAGTGGATTTAATAAAGGGAGGATGAATGGTTAAAGGTAAGGACATAAGTACTGAACTTGGAAGGTATGAATTCAAAGCTATGTACAACTACAAATTCCATGACACACTGGGTAGTATGACAAAAGTGACAGAAGATAATTTAATCTCATTTTTAATACCAGCAGTTTAATACACAATTTTCTGCAACAAATGATTGCTTTTAATATAGATTTTCACCTCTTCAACTAATCTGTTTAAATAATTACTGATTCTAAATAGGAGGAAAGAAAATATCACCTCTCATTTAAATACAGGCTACTGGCTACTGAAGCACTTTAATGTCTGAATTTAGCCTCATGATGCCCTATTGCAGCAGACAAATGGCATTGTATTTATAATACATTTTTTGGAAAATCATGGTACAAAGTAGTTAATCATGGTTACAAAGACACAGGAATAATATGCTGACTCCCAGTGCTATCTGCCTTAAATATAAGGACATCCTCTGTTCCTATGATCAGTTCTTGTCTGTATGAATCTTTTTATAGGTGATACACAAATTAACGACATAGTGGTTTTAATGACTAAAGAGTTATTGTCTTTTGCAGTTAATTCAGAAATATATATTCAGGCTGAAACATACTCAGAGAAAACTGAGAATATCCCTTCACAGAAAAGAAACAGGTAGAGCTCTGGGAGAAATAACTAAGCAGTTCTTCAGCAGATTATCAGGATGGTAGCTGAAATTAGAAAAGAACTGCTGTGAGAAACACGACACAGCTATCATTAAGACTAACAAACTGATCTCCCTTGGCCTGCAAAGGGAAACAGTGAAAGGGGGAAAGCAAACAAGGCAAAAAGGATTAAACTTAAATAAGCTTGGATATTTCCAGCAGATGTCTACAAACTGATGTGATTATTTTATTCACATGATTTTTAGAACATATTTAGGGATAGCAGAAGTGGTGTTATGCAGCTGTCAAGACTAAAGCTTTATTTAATCAAAACTTAAGACTTATTGAAGCTTTACTTAATCAATCTCTAACATTTACTTCCGGTTACTGCCCTTGTAGCAGAGCCAGCATGCAGAAACACACACCTCAGCCACCCTCTGCTTGGTATCTTAGCTCAAATTCATCTTCATAAGTATTTAAAAACAATAATTAAGCTTTGCACTGGAGCAGATGAGATACAGGCACATTCCTATCAACTTTGCTAAAGGCAGAGGAGTAATTTCAATCGAAAAAGCGTGAAGGAGAGTACCTTGCTTCTGACCTTACTGCAGTGCAATCTTCCAGAGACCGTCTCTAAAAGCCTAAGCAAGCTATTCAGTTTTTATTGGGATAGTGTTCAGGAAATGCAGCGGTACAGTTACTCCAGGCATTCAATTTAGGTTCACTGAATTTCCCTCCTGGAGCAGTTTATCTTCTTGCACTACTCACAGAACATGGGCTACTAACTTTGGCTCTCTGAATAATACACCTAAGCTAGAAGTTCAAGTCGCTTAAAACAGACTATACAAACATCACACATACAGAGTACAAGAATGAGTTCACTCTCTTGAGACAGCATCATAGACATTATGTTTTTAGAATCTGATTAAGACCCCAAATATATTCCTGCACGAGCAGCAGTAAGCAGCTGAGAGTTTGCTATAGATACAAATACTTACTGTTTCTCTTTTTCATGCTCTAGCAGTCGTTTATGGAGAAAAACTTCCTTAGCAACATTGCCTCCTTCTGCTAGGATAGCTTCCCTCATTTTCATCTCCTGCTTCTTTGCCTCAAAGGCCATTGCTTTGTTCCAAACCTGGAGAGTTTGGAGTTTCTCCTACAAAGCCATACAAACCAGTTACATGTTTGACTCACATATAAAAATATAAAAGAGAATCTAGTGTTGGTCCCCTTATCTAAACATAAATTTGTGGTAGATTTCTCTGAAGTAGAACTTACTGTTTTTAATACACACAGTAGTCATGGTGTGCTGAGATGCCGAAAGCTCTGACTGGGTCAGGGCTACTTCTAGCCTGCCCTTGAAATGCTACTCAGTGAAGCAATGTGAAAAGATGCAGTTCTAATTAAATCAGTATTAAATTAATATAATTCCCTCAGATTCTACAGAACATAAGTAGAAGAGCAAAGTAGCATAGCTCAGAAATTCTTGATTTACATGATTTAAATTCTTAAGTAACTGTTTTTCTTCCATATGTTTTCTCCATATGAAATATTTCTGTATTGGGATCCAAATAACTGGAAATGCTTCTGAGTTTTCAGAGAACTTCTTTGTAGTACGTATTATTTTCAGGAGAGTTGCCCTACCAGAACAACTAGATTGTTGAGAGGATAAATTCCGTAAGTAGAAGTGTCAAAATCTGCCCATACAAATCTAACACCATTACTCCTATAGTTAAATTCTCTCCAGTTTCAAGAGATTTGGTCGGTGATCTGACAACATCACACAACAATACTGCGATGAAAACTGAAATTACTTGCATTAAAACCTAGCAGTCTAACAAGTCAATTTTTTCATTCCCCATCTAAGCCACAGCAGCAGTACCCTATTGGAAGTTATGCTGTTTTTCAGGGAAAGCACAGCTTGTATCCTTCTCTCCATATGCTCCCGAGTTTTCACTTCTTCCTTTGCATTTTTTTCATGAATTCTGTAAGCAAAGTAAAATCTTTCAGGCTTATATCCTGGAAAGCTTTTAGTATTAGAATGTTTAACCTGACAAGTAGTAATTGTCAATGTCACCAAACATTCTTCCTGTAAGCCTCTGTGTTTACTATGATACTGGGTGTGGGTAAAGCGGAACAGTTGGAAGACTCTTCTATATATGGTACCGCTCAAATTACAAGTGCCAACAGGCTTTCAACTAGTTTGCTCAACAACTTTTTTTTTCAAATTTTGAATATGAAGAATGTGTTCCACATTATGACATATGTCTAGTTGCTAAAATAAAGTAAGAATTCAGGTGTTGCTCATATAACCAGTATCTAAACAATGACGTAGTGAACTTTATATGAGCCAACCACTTGTACCCACACTAAAAATAAACCCTAGAAACTCTAAAAGCTGGAAATATGTGGGCATGAATCAAGCCTGAGAGTATTCCAGCTAATATAATGGTAAACTAAAAAAAACATTTGCAAGATAGATATATTTGATACATTACTCAGAGGGGGGGGAAAAATAATCTCTGTTTGGTTGTTTGTTTTTCTTAAAGTTTGTACATGCCATCTAATGAAAAATAAACCAACACAGCAACAGTACAATTATTTCAATCATTTTTTCCAATTAGGCCTTAATATACAAGTAAAAGTAAGTAACAAATGTTCACAGTTTCTTCAGTAGCAAAATAATTCAACACCACAGTAATGATATAAACGTAAACCTACAAAGAGAACATTTAATTTACCATCAGCCAGAAAAGAACAGAAGCACAAAGAAATGGCCTATCAACTAATTTTACCAGACAGCCAGAAAGCTTTTTTTACCACATTTCAGAGGGAACAGAGAATTGCACAGTGCAAGTTTCAAACCTGAAATTCAGTTATACTACTTCAAACTCCTTCAGTTAATGACACACAGACATATATATATACACATATATATAAAAAAAAAAGGTTTCAAATCATTATTAATGCCTACAAGTAGCCAGAGCCCTCTGCATCTCATCAAAAAGACAGTCCCTTCAGCTACAGGGAATGTGAAGGCCATACTAGGACAGTAAGTGGATTTTCTTCTTTCCAAGTCCTTTTGTGCCGTTAAGATTTGAATGCTTCACAGCACTGGTACTGTGGCAGAAGACTGCCAAGTGTAAGAGAAGATACACCTAGCAGAAGATTATTACTTTTCAAAGACTAAAGGGTAAAGCATTGAACACCAGAGGACGTATAATGACAGAAAAGGAGTGAACAATAACCTTGCTATGCTTTTTCTCAGGAAGCAGACTGCTTTCTCATGGTTCCTTTTGGCACCTTCAAGTATTTTTTTATGCCTTTCTTCATATTCTTTCTGGGCTTCCTCATCTTTCCTACAAAACACAGGCAAACCACCAGTTGCAAGAGGACTAAGGAAACCTTGATTACAATGACATCGAAGGGTAGGGTTGGGGAGTTTATTAATAGGTGCTGAAATGAGGACATTAGTGTCTGCCTGATCCCCCTGCCCCCATCCAGTCTCTTGTTTTCACGAAACTTATAGACAAACTGATAAACTGGTGTCTGCTTTCTCTCCAAGAAATCTCGATGAACCTGATTCTAAGTTTGGAATGCCCTGGCAGCCCACAACAATGCAGACACCTGCAGTTAGTGTGATCTAATAAACTTCATTTCCTTAGACAAAAAGCATTCACAGTTTTTGTCTTTAGCAAGTTTATTTTCATACATCAGAAATCTTTACCTACATAACTGCAAGACTGTGGGCAATTCTTATTTTAATTCCATTTCCTCATAAAATATTCCACTAGCAACACCCAGCTAAAAAACACAATACCACTAGTATTTGAATTAGCTGATCTTCTCAACACCTAAAATAGTGAATTGGCTAAAAATAATAAGGAGAAAGGAAGCAGAACCTGACTTATATGCGCTTACTTTTCTCTAGATTGTCGATTTTCTTCCTCTTGCAGTGCTGCTATTTTTTCCTTCCAGATCCGCACTTCTGCTCGTTCTTGGTATTGCATCTCTAGCACCTCCTCATGTTTTTTAAGCTGTTCACGAAGGATTTCATATTTTCCCTGCTCAGTTTCTATCTGCCACATCTCAAGCCTTTAAAACAAAATGTGAGCTGTTTTCACTGAAATACTGACATTCACTTACTTAAGGCTATTGAGTAGGTAAGGCTCTATGGTGAAAATTAAAATCTAGCCATGTTTGATTTTATTTTTTTAAGTTATATTGTAAATCATATCCTGTTACTGACACAGGTATTATACCTTTCAGACTAAGGCTCATATCTAATAGCACATCTCATTTTACAGACATCAAAAATATCAGTCAAAAAAAAAGTAACACTCAAGGTTCCATTTCTCAAATTCACATTTACCCAGATGAAAATACAAAACCCAAAAAACCCTAGAAAAAACAGCTTTTTCTTCAACAGTAAATAACTTCAGTGACAGGCCATAGCTTTTATTCTTCGATGCTTTGCTGAAAGAATTTAGATATGATAGGGACACATATAAAGAGATTAATATAGTTATTGCTAATCACACAATAAACGAGTCAAGCATTTAAAGCTATTACACAACACTGCAGCAGAACATACTGTATTCTGGTTAACCACATCTAAAAGCTTGTGCTTTTGTTTTTCCTTTGACGTAGTGGCATTAGTAGTTGTACCTCTGGTGCCAAAATATAAACACATTCGCCTCTTGCCTTCTGCAAAAGACAGTTTTATTCTGTCTTGTATGAATAAATAATTTAGTATGTGTGAACAATCAATTATAAGCGCAGTATTAGCTTAAAAAAATACACAGTACCACCACAATGTCTCCAACGTGCTCAATTCCAATTTTTTCCTTTATGCCCTATCAAAAACACTAAGAGGCATTAATTAGAAGTATTTCTGCTCATTCAGAGATCAGTATCACAGACAGGTTTGCTTTAGTCCAGTTTATTTTCCATTTAAAATGAGACCTGTGTAGGTCCACAATTTATGCACAACTCCAAATGAAAAAACTTCATTTATGTCTGCAAAACTAACTCGGGGGCAGAGCCACAGCAACCAATTTCTAAGCAATGAACTGTTCAGGTTCAAAGTTGCTCTCAAGATCCTTTGCCTCGCAGTCAACATCACACGACCTCAAATGATGTAGTTCAGTATTTACAAGCCACTTCTGTAGTGATTAACTTTTGAATCCATTAAACAGCATATGAAGAACATAACAAAGATCGACTCCCATCACACTGTTTTCTCATTCCCTCACTTACATGTTTTCTTTTAGTGTTAAAGAAATTTCCAACTCAAAATCCTTCTCCTTCTCAAGTTCAGTGCACAGTCGTCTGTTCATTGCCTGAAGGCGGGACAAGGCTGCACTGTTAACATTAAAAAGAAACAATAAGGAAGAAATTGGAACTAATAAAGGTTAAAAAAAATCTCCCCCCACCCCCAAAATCAGCAACAATAAAAAAAATTGCTCTGAGGTTGAGATTTATGTATTAGAATGCCATTAATTTATGCATTCTCTTACTTAGCCTCTAAGCATCCCTTCTTCATGCAAAGGCATAGCTTTCTTTAAACTACTACGCATTGGTTGAAATTTACAGAGGAGTATTTATTTCAAAAGCACTGACCTGTAGCTTAATGCGAGTATTCATTTCTCAAGTTGATAAAAGTAGTATTATTAATGAAAATAACTTTAGGCAAACCTAGACTGATTTTGTTTTTAAAATGGCATTATAATATT